AGGGTTCTGAAAGGACAAGTATGTCTGAGTCTCCTTTTGCCCTGGCAGATTCACACTTCTCGCCAAGCCTTGCTGGCGCACTTTTTTGTCACTCTCCTGGCCAAACTTTGCTGAACTGCAGTGGTGCACTTTTTTCTCTTTGGCTGGCGCTGCCAGCCTTTGTGGTCCGGTAGCCTCGAGTTCCAAAAAATTTTCGGATTAGCTCAATTTCGATTCTGGAGTTTTTGACTGGGTAATGTACCAGCGGTGGAAGTTATTTTCTGAATATTCGCACTTCGAGCACTTCACTTTTCTCAGGAGAGGAAGCAATTAAGCTCTCTGCTTTTTCCTTTTCTTTTTTTTTTCTCCTCTTTTCTTCTCTGCTAATCGTGGGGCTACTATGTGTTTGTTCCTTTGTGTGTGGCTGTGACGTTTTCGACCGAACGGGCAAATGCCAAATACTTGACCGGGCACCAGCGAAGTCGTCTGTGGGCTTGGAAAGGAAAGATGGGCAAGCTCTGACGAACGGGTGTGCATTTGAAAATGGTCAGAGTGATTTGCATGGCGACAATGATTCGAAGATTGAAATGGAGCGCATTTGTGAAGATGACGAGGGTGATGTTGACATGGATAACGAGGTATCGGTTGATGCGGAAGGCTTGGTGGGAGAACGGGCGACGGAAGCGGTTGGCGAGTGCGGCAGAGGGCTGGATGCCATGCAGGGGGGGGAGTGCAGAACAGCAAACACGCAAAGGGGTAGTCCGAATGGGGAGGCTGAAGGGCATGGGAACAACGACGCAATGGAAGTGGACTGTTCCGACGGAAAGAAACCCCTTAAATCGCTGGGGGATGATGATAATAACAGATGCTCTGGAGGAGGTGGCTTAGACAATGGAGGCATGACATGTGACGGAGATGATAGGGCGGGAGGCGGAGAAGAGGCCGTGTGTATGGGAGGGGTGGCAGTTGCGCCGAACGAGAGTACGGGTAGGGGAGGGGTCGAGGGGTGTGACAATGCTGAGGTAGGTACGGGTAAGCGAGCGGTCGAGGGGTGTGACAATGCTGAGGTAGGTATGGATAAGGGATCGGTCGAGGGGTGTGGCAACGCTGAGGTAGGTGGAACAAGCACAAATGACCCAGATGATGAGACGACTGCGGCCAATGAACTGGGGGGCAGTTCTGAAAACGGTCAAACAGATCCCAAAGGAAAGGTTGTAGTATTGGGCCACCTCCAAAAGGAGGAGGGGGAAAGAAATGACAAGCTTGATGTTGTTGCTATCAATAGAGTAGTAGATGGAGGCAGCTCTGCGGCACAGGAAGCTAGGCACAACAGTTCGCAGGTGTCTAAAGGTGCTGAAAATGGTACGGTCGAGTTGTCGATGGGTGAGGAGGTACCCGAAAGGAACCGGTATCCGGGCGGGCAATTGAGCAGGAGTTCATTTGCAGTTTTGGAAGAAGGGAATTGTGGCGGCGGACAGGGAGGAGAAGTACGCGATAAAGGTCAGGACGCCCTCGCAGCAGAGTTGTGCAGCGTGGATGGTGGCGATCCCGACGAAGGGGAGATTCCGACCGTAAGGGTAAACCTGTTGGGGGGGCATGAATCGAAAGCATCCTCGAGGAAGGACCTATCGTGTGCCGTCCTCGGTCCGGAGGTTGAGAACGTGCTTAGACGAACGTTGGAGGAGTTCAGGAAATCTCAGGCAAGGGAGTACTCGATGGTGGAGAAGTGTTTGCGTAATCAGAAAGAACGTGTGCACTTGGAATACCGAAAACTGGGTAGTATGCTCGATAACCTTGCGAAGTCGACGGAAAGCGCTATCGACAGAGGCGGGGGGGCGAGTGTCTCCGTCCTGCAGCTGGAGTGCTGGCAGTCGCTTGTCGAAGAGATAAACTTGCAGAGATCTCTTGCGAAGGAGGAGGTCAAGCGCTTTCATAAAATGCTTGGGATTTATAAAGGGTTTTCTGTCGTCGGAAGTGACCTTGTTAAAGAGTTTGTTGCATCCCCAGGGGGTGTTGTTGAGAAGGAAACGTCGCTGCCAACTGCTGGACATCCTGGAAAAGGGTAATCATCAGAAGGTGCGAAAGGCATCAAGGTGAGTGGGTGAGTGGGTGAGTGGGTGGGTGGGTGGGGTACCTTGGACAGAGAAGCTGGCAGTGACTCCAGAACCTTGTTGTGAGGGAAGCTAGCTAATGTTCTTCTTCTGAGAGAACTTGACATGGAGGGCGGCGACCGGTAGGTTGTGTTTGGATGCCTTGGAGCAGGCGCAGGTTCTGATATCAAAACCAGCTGCGCCAGTTGCAGCAGTAGAAGCAGAAGCAGAAGCAGTTCATTGTATTAGAGGTAGTGGTTTTTCGGAAACGTTTTTTTTTTTTTTTTTTTTTTTTGTTTTTTTTTTTTTTTTTCGTTTTGTTCTTGATATCGTAGTTGGGAATGACACATGGAGTGTTGTTAGCCAGCCGCGGTTGACCTCAGGAGGTTTGAGCTTGAGAGATTGCTCAGCTTGTGCCGCGGGACAGCCGACTTTAACGAAACGGGCTTTTCCTCCCTACTTTTGCTTTACCCTCCTGTGTCTTTTCGCCGATAGATGTGTGCTTCCAAAATTGCAAAGATCATTGCAGTTGTCAATCCAGCAGGTGCAGAAGGAACAGAAGATTCTTCTCGGTCTGTCGTTGTCTAACTTCACTGGTGTGACCGTGTTGCAGGAATGTGTGGGCAAGTGATACCTATGCCCAGGTTTGACCCGTGGCCCGCGTTGTACTGTGTCATACGGATGCGCCCAGGAATGCGAGCAAGTGGTGGAGAAGCTAACAGGTGAAAAAAAAACACGTGTCGGAAACAACGCACACCGGTTGAGGGACGTGCAATGACTATGCCATTGCACAATTGCTCTCTGTGTATGGTTGTGTGTTTCGGTCTGTGTCATATTGTGCATGTGTGTGTGTGTGTGTGTGTGTGTGTGTGTGTGTGTGTGTGTGTGAGAGAGAGAGAGAGAGAGAGAGAGAGAGAGAGGTGGGTTGGCCTTCTGAGGATGGACTTTCAAGGAGTGGCTGTCGTGCGAACTTTCACGATGTTTCTTCTTTTGGAGGTCCAAGATTTCAAGGATCGGTCAGTTCTCTGCGATTTGAAGCTGAACCTATTTGAGAAAGCCATTGTGCTGACTGTAGGGCATACTTCAATCTCTTGACTCTCTCTTCGTTGTGATTGAATTCACATCCACTAGATTAGAGCAATGTTTCAAAAAAAAAAAGAAAAAAAAAGAAAGAGGAATACTTGGTTAGTTGATTCAACTTGATTTGCATATATTCGTTCTTTTTTCTTTTTTCGTCAAAAATAAAAAGGCAATCTTGTGTGCAGTCACGAGTCGGTGAACGGAACTTGAACCCCTGGAGTTGAGAGGGGTAAACTTTTGACGGTGTTTCTTTTTTCTTTTTTTTTTCTTTTTTTCCCCAAAAACACACTAGTCCCCTTCTATTCTGGGGGGCACCAGTCCGGTTGCTTATCCCCGGCAAACATGTTTTTACAAAGACAACAATAGAAGAAAAGACGAGAAAAAAAAAAAGGAGGTCAGCCCAACCCTCGTGGCACTACTTTTGACGGTCTTTAATCTTATCACCACTTTTTTTGTGGGAAAAAAAGGGAAGAGCAGTTTATAGCTCAAGTCTTTAATCACGAACTGTTGTACTGATCATAGGAGCCTCTCCTCAGGTGCTTAGGTGGGATTTGTTTGATGCTTCCCACCAATAAGATGGAGCCTCTCCTCAGGTGCTAGAGGTGTCTGCTCTTTTCAGGACCACTAGTACTGGTGGGGGCGTGTTTTTTTTTTTCTTTTTTTTTTTTTTCTTTTTTTTTTAAAAAAAAAAGTCATCTGTTGCCTTCTGCACAGGGGTTCCACGGATGTGCAAGGGGGATGGTAGACATACACAACCACCATGTCCTGTGTGAAGCTGCTGCTTTGATGGACACGCTCAAGAGACACAGGCGGGAGTCGGGAGTCGGAATCACAGGCATGAAATCATTGTGGACCAAAAAAACCTGAAGCCCAAACACAGCACGGTGACAGCCACACGCTACATGGCATTGTTCCCTACATGTTTCAGCTGGTCCCAGGTCCAGCCTTGTCAAGGTATTGTTCCCTGCATGTTTCAACTGGTCCCAGGGGGGTGAATATGGCAAGTGGCATTTGTTGCCTTCTGCTTGGGTTCCAGGGACCAGGTTGTCCCAGTTCCAGCCTCGTCAGGGCATTGTTCCCTACATGTTCCAGCTTGTTGCAGTTCCAGCCTTCTCCCAGTTCCAGCCTTGTCCCAGTTCCAGCCTTGTGCCAGTTCTAGCCTGGTAAAGGGGAATACAGCAAGTGGAATTTATTGCCGTCTGCTCAGGTTCCAGGGACCAGGGATGTGTCATGCCCTTGTTTCAACTGGTCCCAGTTCCATCCTTTTGGGAGGGGGGGTGGGGGGGTGAATACGGCAAGTGGCATTTGTTGCCTTCTGCTCAGGTTCCAGGGACCAGGTTGTCCCAGTTCCATCCTCGTCAGGGCATTGTTCCCTACATGTTCCAGCCTTGTCCCAGTTCCAGCCTTGTCCCAGTTCCAGCTAGTCCCAGTTCCAGCCTTGTAAGGGGAAGTAGCAAGTGGAATTTATTGCCGTCTGCTCAGGTTCCAGGGACCAGGCATGTACCATGCCCTTGCGTCGTTGGAGAGTAGTGGGAAGTTGTTTCCCAAAAAAAAAAAAAAAAAAAAAAAGCGTCCAGCCTGCAGGGGGGCAGTCGGGGTTGTCAGATGTTATTTAGAGGGTGTGACATGACTGGCCCTTTCATCATATGAAAATTTCTAGGCTTGAATTTTCCCACTCGTGTACTGGAGAGTGGCTGCTTGTATCGCTTCCACTCGTATTCCACCGAACTGTACTTTCTCAGCCAGGTAGCTAATCCAGTCACGGTATACGGGGGGCTAGACCTAAGTCGGAAGTTGCAGGTTGGCCGCATGAGGGGCCGGGGATGGTGGATCCGCCGCCAGGGTGTTAGACCTTCGGAGCAACGGCAGGTCCCATCAGGGTGCTGGGGGTCACCATGTTGGCTGAGGGGCAACCCAGCAGCAAACGATGAATGGATCTCGCGGTCGTCCCTGGAGAAACTGGGTCTGTGGAAGGATAAAAACACCTGCCTGGTAGGACGCCGTGTGGCGTCGCAATCGGTGGTCCAACCCAAACCGAAAGGAGGCTTAGCCACCATTGACCCGACCACACAGGCCATGGCACTTGCCCTCCAGTGGCTCAGGCGCCTGCTCTTCTGTTCCAAACCCCTTGGAGGGCACTCGCCAGGGAACAAGTAACCAGGCTGGGTAGTCCCTCCGGCGCCACCAGGGAGGGACCCCCTAACATGTCTGGGAAATAGATGCTGGCCAATCCCAAGGCGGCAGTCCCACCCCAAAACGTAGCACCTGAGTCTGGCGAGGCAGGTGGCAAGGGTGGACCTGCGAAAGGACCCGTTCTGGCCAACCCTGCTCAAAATATGGTGCAGGCTTCCCTTGCCGGATAACAACCCTCCTTGAGATGGGGGGGAGGGGGGGTCCTCCACCAGCCCCTCTTTGGAAACCTCCGGATCGTAGACACCCAAGGCTGTATGCTTAGATGCACGGACACCCCCTGGCCTCGATGGGCCAAGTGGGGGGTCCTCAATATCCATGACATTTGGGACCAAGAATTCAAGGACCGGACCCCCCCAAGTGGTTCAGAGCTTCTCTGCGGTACTCTGCCATTGACCGGACACGGCCCTGGAAATGTCTACAGATATAATGTCGTTGGACTAGGTCATAATCCTCCGGCGGGGTTCCACCCTGCAGGAATCAGATTGGGTTGCCTCCCCAGGTGTTAGTGGTGCCTGCTCTTACCAGCAGCACTAACACTGGTGGGGCTGTTTTGGGGAAAAAAAAAAAAAAAAAAAAAAAGGGTTGCCATACGAGGCCAGACGGGGACCATTGGCAGCGTGGTAGTCCTCCACCCAGATGGGACTGTGATTCTGTAAAGGTCCCGATACCAGGATACACACTTGGAGTCTGTTCAGAGTCTTCAGAAGACTGAGAAGCAACAACACCCTATACAGAATCACACCAGAGGAAACACGGGTCACCCAAAGATCGGGACCTTTACAGAATCCAAGTGGTCCAGGATAGGGACCGTCGAGTAGCTTTCTACCCCAATACCCCCTTCTCCCAATTGGCTTTTGACCCGGCGGGGTGGACCTGGCCAATCGCCATGAGGCGGGGCAGAACCTGCACGAGAGCAATACATAGCCTATCGGTTAAGTTGGCATATCGACTGCTCAGACCCAGGAAACAACCTCCGTGACCAGGTGGACAACCGGTGGATGAGACACCTCAACGCAGGCACAGAGGCGCTAAGACGGATCAAGTGGTGCTGGACCATGAAGGCGAAGTCGGCCAAACTGGCTTGGCAGGTGGAACATCGCTGCTTGCCCAGAAACGACCGGTCGGTTGGCCCTGCGGTGGTGCAAACTGTGCAGTGACACATACCTACCTTCTTCCCCCAAATACAACGTACGATCATTATGGCTGTATCTAGACAGAAAGATGCCTCAAATGCAGCTATAATGACCGTACATTGTATTCGGGGGAAGAAGGTAGCTAGGAAGCGCACTGAGACAATAGAGCATATGGTTCTGCAATGCCCTGGGGCCATTTGGCTCTGGTGCTGGTGGGAGTGGGTCTGGGGTCTGCTCAAACATCAGACCTCTGGCCATGGGACTGGAAGGCCCTATGTGAGACATGGTTCCCCAACCAGCCGGATACATTCACCTTGAACCTATTCAAGCTCGGTCGAAGAGCTGTTGTGTTCTGGCCTCTCTGGAGGAGACGCTGCACCTTTGATAGAAGGGGCGCGACGTGAGGGACCCGAGTTCACGCACAGCATCGAGCAGGAGGTACAAAACCCATGTAACGACACGATGGGAAGGGGTGAAAGCATAGCTAGATCATCTTCACTCCCCATCTGAAATGTAAAAACGACACGATGGGAAGGGGTGAAAGCATAGCTAGATCATCTTCACTCCCCATCTGAAATGTGTCAAACCACTCAACAATTCAGTGAAAGCTGGCTCAGGGGAGCTCAAGGGGGAAGGGTAGGGAAAGTGGAATGGGAAGGGGGGCCAAAGGGGGAACCGGGGGATAACCAGGTGCTATCATCTGGCCTGTCATGAATGGGCGAAGCTGGGATGCATCCGTCCCCGTGAGACCTCCCTCGAGACTTTCTAGATGTGTTCCCTCCGCTGTCGCAATGCTTAGTGGATCTGAGATGGTATAGCATGGCATAAGTTAGTGCTAAGAATTGAGAAGCAGGGAAGTGGTTAGAGCACCGGTTGGAAATGCGCATTGTGGTATGAGGTTGTGGGTTCAAAACTCCACAGCCTCGCGCATGGACACAGGCAGGGTGTTAGAGTGACGCACGGCTGGACACACACTCCCCTGGGCTGACGCATGGTACTATTACAGACACTGCCTGCGCACCACCCAGGGGATAAGTCCATGGGTATTGTATGCTGGCCTAGTCCTCACGTTGGTCACTGGTTGTTGTTGGCTTTGGTCGCTCTGATGATCTCCCCAGTCCAGATATCACACACACTAGATTCACTTCCTACGATAGTACAAGTGGTAGAACCCTCCAGTTTCACACTGTAGGTCATCTGTCTCTTATACACATCTAGATGTGTATAAGAGACAGTCCTACGATAGTACAAGTGGTAGAACCCTCCAGTTTCACACTGTAGGTCATAGGTTCGAGTCCGGTTCGGACTTTGGGGGAGACCTGTCTCTACCACATATTCACACACACACCCCAGATAGCACAATCACGATACCTAGTTTATCACATATCATATACACATACCATACACACATATATATAGCTACTCCATATTCGGTAGGGATGATTCTCTGGATGGCCTTGGGTGGGGACGTGTGGCTCTCTTACGGGGAAGCTGTTGAGGATGAGTGCTGCTCTCTTGGGTCGGGGGGTGGCATGGGGGTTGGGGGTGCATGGTGATACCGTGGCAGTCCAATGATTGGGAAGGGGTGCCTTGTAGGGAAACCAATGCCGAATTAAGGGGTGTATCCTACTTTCGTTGGCTGTAGAGCCATTCAGGTTAGGAGTGAGTTGGCAGCGGTTGGTCGAGGGTAGTTGATGATGGACGAGGTCTCCTCCAATACCACTGGTCAA